TATAAAGTCTAAAAAACATGAATGGAAGTCAATGGAAGGTCCCCATGGGGTCGAGAAACAAACATGTGTGTGTGTGTGTATGTGTGTGTATGTGTGTGTGTGTGCCCCCTGCCTGTTTGTGCATTTAAGCTCTGCCCAGGAAGATACAGGCATAAGAGGGGAGTTGAGCTGCTAACAGAGGAGGCAGTAATTGAAGTCTTTAGGAAAGTGAGAGAGGATTAATCCAACTTAAAAGAGATTTTACCTTCACAGGTGCCACCTACCTCTGAAAACATGGGCAGTTTCTTGGCAAAATCAACAACACGAGTAATGGCAGGGGTCATGATCTTGGTGAACTCACTGAAGACCTCGATATCGACTTTATCTCCATTTGAGGTGGGCATCACCTGACCATGGCCGATTTCATCTGGCTACAAAGACAAAACACAGATCCATTCAAAGGATGAGATAGAGAGGTAAAGACCCATACATCTACACAACCATCCATCCATCCATCCATCCATCCATCCATCCATCCATCCATCCATCCATCCATCCATCCATCCATCCATGAATGACTGGGTCACAGTCCACAGTCCTCCCTCTCCCAGCTCATCAGAAGAAACTCTGAGATGATCCCAGACCAGCTGTGAGATCTAATCCCTCCAGCGACTCCAGAATCTATCATGAGGTCTCCTACTGGTGGGACCAGGTTCACATGTCCCAACAGTAGGAGACATATAAAACCAGTCCATAACTGGTTCTTTTTGATGCCAAAGAGCAACAACTCAAATGCTACCCAACCCCTCAGAGTGAGTCCAACATCTTAAACACATTTCAGTCATTCTTGGCTCATTGTACTGAAAACATGAAACCAACAAAATAACATGAAGGAGACTGCTGAGCAAATTAGATTAGACTTAGACCTAAATTGAATAGTTTTGAGGAGAATTATAGAGGGAGAATGAGAAAATATGGTGTCAGTTCAGAAAACAGTAAATAAAAACATATTTCTATAAAAGTCTTCTATTTATTGAAAGAATGTTGCAAAAACCCGTTAGTTCCTGTTCACAGCTGAACATTTGATCCCTGTTCTGAGAAACTGTGAACTTAAAGAGCCAAACAGTCAGGAAACAGCTTTAGGCCATGACAGAGACTTCATGTGTCATTGGAGGGTAATTAATGGGTTGTTATGGTTCAAGAAGACAAAAGGAAGCATTAAATCTTGTTTTGACGTTACAGGATTATGAACCAAAACTTCCACCAAGACCACAACATAAGCCATGTTTCCATGCAATTCTAATTCGAATTTTGAGCAAATTTTTAAAATTTCGCAAAAAGGAAAGAACGAATAAATGCGAATCAGATGTGTTTACATCAAATGGCTTGAAACGAATCAATTACGTCAGATGCATGGGTGAAGAAAACAGGAAGTAAAAGTCACATCTCAGGACAATGGAAGTTATCAGGAACCTGTTGCTACTATCGGGAAAGTTGTACTTATTCTGTCATATCAACGATATGGTGATGTTACATGCTGTCTGGAGACATAGAGAAAGAAATGTAATTTTTTTCATGTTACAGGAATAACTGAGAATACGCCGACAGCAGGAGGAGGGTCCAGCTGCAGTCAACTGGTTTCAGACAGACAGCGAGAACAGCTGATCAACATGTGAGGTAAATGTTCGCTACGTCAGAACTGTTTCTACAAATGTGTTTATATCTCTCCTTTTGCACATTAACGCTTTTTCGAAAAAACAAAAACCACCTCAAGCGAGCGTATCAACTTTTATGCAAATTAGAGGACGTTTTTTTCGAATCAAGCTGTTTCCATTCACCTTTTCTGATGCGATACTTCAAAATGCGCATTAAAAAACCTTGATGGCTATAAACTGCAGTTTTGTTCTTCTGTAATGTTAACAAAGTCATTAAATTAATTTCTTTTTCAAAGTTTTAGTTTCAGTGGCTCACAGCCCACTCAAAGAGAAAACCTGTAAATTTTTATTCATCATAGTCTGACGTGCTCCACCACTCAGCCCCACGTACAGACGGTGCTCTTCGACCTTGAACGTTCTTGTACTTTTCAGCAAATCTTTCAAAATATGTAGACTGGTTGCCTGGAAACTGTCATCTGACCTTTTTGCCAAGGTATCCATTAGAGTTTTAGACTTGTGTAACAACACACGGTGCTAACCATGTGGAAGCCACCAAGCAGGTAAAAGCTACAGTTATGGAAAGTGTCAGCTTGTCTGCTGGAACAGAAAGGACATTTCTGCAGAGCGGGTGAATCATTTTGTAACTGAAGGGAGAGAAGAGGTGTATTTAATCTTTACAGATGTATTTTGACTCCAGGAAGCTTTTCTCAGATTTTATTTTTCCTTACAGTTTTTTTTAAGACTGTGCTCTTCTTACAGTAAAACAAAACAAAACACATTTTTGTAGTAGTACATTTTACAGTGTAGACAGAACTTGGAGGGAATTGCCAAATTTTCACATAGATAATTAAATTTTGGTAAAACAAATGTGAAATTCAGTCCTGTTTGTTGAACTACAACTTAAGGATATGTCTACACATTAAAGATTAAATGGAAGGCAGATTGTTGGATCTTATGTGCCTGAATGTGACTGAAAGCAATAAAAAGGATAAAACATATAAGAGGTGAATATTTTTTATAGGCATAGAAGGCAATTTTGTCTTCTCTCAACCAACGCATCTTATATAGGACTTAAATCTCTCACACCCAGTCTCACCATCGTATTTGGCCTTAGATTTTTTTGAAAAACTGTATGTGAACCTTKTCATATCTGACATAAAACCCAAGACCAACATTAAAAACAACATCCTTTACAAACATGCATCTCCTTCTTACAGTTCATGAACTTATTTTAATACAGTTCTTATTTTTATTAACCAGAGGTTTCGGCTGAGGGGTTAAGGGAGTCGTCCTCCAATAGGAGAGCTGGGTGTTCGATGTCAAAGTGTCACTGGGTAAGACACTGAACCCCTGCTGCCTCTGTTGTGTGTCCCTTCAGTGTATGAATGTGATTTAAATGATTTATCTAGATCATCTTTGTAAAGAGACATAGTAGAGTGCTGCATGGATAGGTAAACGAGGACACAGACTGCAGTGTAAAGAGCTTCAAGTATCCTAGTTGGATAGAAAGGTGCTATGTAAGTACAGTCCATTTACCATTTACTGCTGTGAGGAAGAAAAGCTAGTTTTGAGTCCAAGATTTGAGAAACCATTCTAATAAAAACTACAGTATGTTTTAGTTACTGACTTTAATCTAAAAGATTGTTTCACATCTGTTCCCAGCTGTGTATGCCTAAAAGCAAAATAATTACCAGGAACTTGGGTTTCTGCTTGTGGCTGGCATGGGTGTTCCTGTGAGCCTCTGTCACCATCCGGATCAGCTCCCACTCTGCACCGTCCGGTTCCGGCCTCAGCTGAAGCGTCCGCACCATCTCCTCTTTCTTCCGGCGCTCTCGGTTCTCCTCGATGAGGCGCCTCTTGGCCACGCGCTTGGAGTCATCCAACACCACTTAAAACACAGAGCGGTGGTGGCTTTTTGGTGAGTTCATGAACCAAGGCCAGTGCAATAAATCACAGCATTCTGACACATCCTGACTCGAGACGCAAGTCCATGTATTCAAATTTAAAAATTTTAACCAAATATCTTAAAGAAAAACATTTGCTTTTTATGAACAGAAACATCTGCGCAGTTCAGTTATTATCTGGCTCACTAAGAAATGTCAAGAGACGTTTGGTTCTAAATCCAAACCTTCCTACTGTGAGAAGACACTGTTAAACCATGTACTGCTTCTATCTAAACACAAACAGATATAAAAAAAGGCCAAGCTGGGAATGACTCACAGTCCATGGCCATGCCCACAGAGATGCACTTCTTAAATCGGCACAGCTGGCACTGGTTTCGGGTGATCTTGTCAATGATGCAGCAGCCATCATATTTACAGGAGTAAGAAGGATGGAGATTTTTCTGGATTGTCCTGCGGAAAAAACCCTGAAGGCAGGGAAGAAAAGTTGGAGAAATAAATGATTGAACAAAATCAATAAAATACTTAAACACAAAAATAACAACTCACTGAAATGACTGTCTTATACTCTGCTGTATGAAAAGTGATTTGTACAAATGTTCTACCTCAACACTGACATTTCTTTTGTCTCAACACTGACATTTTGCCTCAMCACTGATGTTTTGCCTCAACACTGACGATTCATCTCAACACTTCGATGTTTCACACTGACATTTCATCTGAACATTGATATTTTACCTCATCACTGTTTTACCTCAACACTGACGTTTCACCTTAACACTGATGTTCCACCTCAACACACTGATGTTCCACCTCAACACACTGATGTTCCACCTCAACACACTGATGTTCCACCTCAACACACTGATGGTCCACCTCAACACACTAATGTTCCACCTCAACACACTGATGGTCCACCTCAACACACTGATGGTCCACCTCAACACACTAATGTTCCACCTCAACACACTGATGGTCCACCTCAACACACTGATGGTCCAGTTCAACACACTAATGTTCCACCTCAACACACTGATGGTCCACCTCAACACACTGATGGTCCAGTTCAACACACAGATGGTCCATGATGGTCCACCTCAACACACTGATGTTCCACCTCAACACACTGATGGTCCATGATGGTCCACCTCAACACACTGATGTTCCACCTCAACACACTGATGGTCCATGATGTTCCACCTCAACACACTGATGGTCCACCTCAACACACTGATGTTCCACCTCAACACACTGATGTTCCACCTC